AGAGGTCGGGCCCCCGAGTCTCCGGGCCGCCCTGAGCCTGGGGAGGAGCGGAGGGGAGTCAGATGGAGTGGGTGAAGATTAGAGCTGGGGGAAGAGTGGGGCGAGGGAGGTCGCGGTTCCTGGCCCACTCGCTTGTGCCTGCTCCCACGGGTTGATGAACCCTGACAACCCATTATTTGGCCTCCATCCCTGAGGCCCTAAACAGCTCTAAAACTCAGTTCCTCCAGCCCCAGGGAATTTCCAGGTGATCAACCCTTCTGAAGGTTTCCCTGCTGGGCCCAGAGAAGTTGAGCCACTTTCCCCAGGTCACACAGCGTGGAATGTTCGCAGGGAAATGTTGCTGGGAGGTCTTCATCTCTCCAGAAGGCATCAGACCTTGGGAGGAGCGCCTTACTCCATCCATGTGACCCTCTGGTCCCCTCAGATTGCTGAAGTCATGGACTGGCCAAGACAGTGGTGACTCTCCCCCCAATACAGCATGGATGACTGGAAGTCCGGTCCCCTCCTTAAGCCCTTTGGGGCTAGGAAGAAGCGGAGCTGGTATCTTACCTGGAAGTATAAACTGACAAACCAGAGGGCCCTGCGGAGATTCTGTCAGGTAGAAAGGGGTCCCAAATGTCCCAGGGGCCCCCTTCATATCTTTCCCCCAGCCTAGAGTGGTTTCGATGACCTTTCTTAGCCACTTCCAGATTGTAGCTTAGCCTTAGAGTTCTGGAATCAGAACCGAAGTCTGACTTCCTAGACAGTTTGAAGTCTGATCAGCAGTGCATCTGTCAGGCAATTAGGGCTAGCTTCCAGATGTGAGCCCCAGCTTGCTTCTCTGGGCTTGGCTCCATCTCTAGGAACTAACTGTGGAGGGGATCAAGGATTCACACGGAAGAATACAAGACCTCTGGGTTGGGAGGATCCTGTTGGAGATGGAACAGTCAGGGGAGGCTTCTGGAGGAGGTGACCATGAAACCAGACCCTGGTTGAGGGCTAGTTTTTTTTTTTACAGAGCCTAGGTTTCCCCTGTGTCCTTGCTGCAACCAGGGTCCTCCTTTCTTTTTTTTTTTTTGGGTCCGGTCGTGGGGCCTGAACTCTGGGCCTGAGCACTGTCCCTCAGCTCTTCAGCTCAAGGCTAGCGCTCTACCACTTGAGCCACAGCGCCACTTCCAGCTTTTTTCTTTTTGCTTATGTGGTGCTGGGAATCGAACCCAGGGCCTCAGGCATGTAAGGCAAGCGCTCTACCACTGAGCCACCTTCCCAGCCCCTAGGGTCCTCCTTTCTTTCTTTCTTTTTTTTTTTTTTTTGGCAGTCATGGGGCTTGAACTCTGGGCCTGGGTGCTGTCCCTCAGCTCTTCAGCTCAAGGCTAGCGCTCTACCACTTGAGCCACAGCGCCACTTCCGGTTTTTTGGTGGTTTATTGGAAATAGGAGTCTCACAGTCTTTCCTGCCCGGGCTGGCTTTGAACCGCGATCCTCAGATCTCAGCCTCCTGAGTAGCTAGGATTACAGGCGTGAGCCACCAGCGCCCAGCAAAAACCATCCTTTTTTTTTTTTTTTTTGCTTATGTGGTGCTGAGGAATCAGGGCCTCAGGCATGCAAGGCAAGTGCTCTACCACTGAGCCACCTTCCCAGCCCCCAGGGTCCTCCTTTCAGAAAGACACTTTATGATCTGAAGGGTTTTTTGTTGTTTTATTTTTCTGGTTTTGGGGTTTGAACTCTGGGCTCTACCACTTAAGCCACAGTTCCACTTCTGGCTTTTTTTTTTTTTTTGGTTGGTTGTGGGGCTTGAACTTGGGGTCTGGCACTGCCTCTTAGTTTTTTTGCTCAGGGCTAGCACTCTACCACTTTTAGCCACAGAATGGTTTATTGGAGATAAGAACCTCTCGGACTTTCCTGTTGGGGCTGGCTTTGAACCTTGATCCTCAGATCTCAGCCTCCTGAGTAGATAAGATTATAGGCATGAGCCACCAGTGCTCAGCATTTTTGTTTTGTTATATATTTTTTTTCTTTCTTAACCCAGGGTCCAGGTATTGTCCCTTACCTTTTTCATTCACGGTTGGTTCTCGCCGGGCGCCAGTGGCTCACACCTGTAATCCTAGCTACTAAGGAGGCTGAGATCTGAGGATCTCGTTTCAAAGCTAGCCTGGGCAGGAAAGACCGTGAGACTACTATCTTTAATAAACCACTAGAAAACTGGAAGTGTGGCTGTAGCTCAAGTGGTAGAGCGCTCTCCTTGAGCTGAAGAGCTGAGGGACAGCACCCAGGCCCAGAGTTCAAGCCCCATGACCTACAAAAAAAAAAAAAGGTTGGTTCTCTACTACTTGAACCACAGCTTCACTTCCAGCTTTCTGATAGTTAATTGGAGGTGGACTTTGCTGCCTGAGCTGGCTTTTTACCATAATCCTCAGATCTCTGCCTCGTGATTAGCTAGGATTACATCCATGAGCCACCAGCACCCCGACTTCGGGTTTTCAGTCTTCCCCACCTCTCCTCTCAGACAGGAGCTGTGCTCTTCCTGCTGGTGACTGTCATTGTCAACATCAAGTTGATCCTGGATACTCGGCGAGCCATCAGTGAAGCCAATGAAGATTTGGAGCCAGAGCAGGATTATGGTAGGGACCGGGCTGAGGATGGGATTGGGGGAAGTCTGGGAGGCAGAGGGATCTGTCAGGCAGATCCCAGGGGATATGGCTAGTGAGGAAATGCTCTCCATGACTGTTGACCCCCTCCAGATGAGGCCCTGGGTCGCTTGGAGTCCCCACGGCGCAGAGGCAGCAGTCCCCAGCGGGTCCTGGATGTGGAGGTGTACTCCAGCCGCAGCAAAGTGTATGTGGCAGTGGATGGCACCACGGTGAGAGGGCCAGGGCCTGGGTACAGTCGCTCTCTTCACTGTGGGTCCACTGGCTCAGTGGGAACCGTAGCTCTGCCAGTTTTTTTTTCAAGCTCTGTGAGTTTGGAGCCCTCAGTTCTTCAGCTGTCGTCTGGAACGAATGACTTCTACTTCCTAAGATTAAGTGAAGCACATGAAATGTCTTTAAGTAGTGAGGCCTCAAAAGTGACCATTAGGAGACAGTTAATGCATTGATTACTTCATCACCGCTTCCTAGTCCTTTCTTTGGCCTTGAGCTGGGCAATGGGCACCAGGAGGTAATGGGACCCTTACTTGAAGGGGTTGGGTCTGATGGAGGATTGGTTGGGTCTGATGGAGGATTGTGGTATTGCCAGATGGAGCAGAGACAGTCAAGGGCCCTAGGAGCCATGGAAATGATCAGAGGAAAGATGGAAAGATGTCTCTTCTGATAGGATGTGGTGGCTGCTTCGTGGAACAGGTGTTCTACACGCTGAATTAGAACTATAAACATCTGGGCACTGGTGGCTCAGGCCTATAATTCTAGCATCTCAGGAGGCTGAGATCTGAGGATCATAGTTCAAAGCTAGCCTAGGTATGAAAGTCCATGAGACTCCAATTAACCACCAGAAAACTGGAAGTGGAGCTGTGGCTTAAAGTGGTAGAGCACTAGCTTTGAGCAAAAGAAACTCAGGGAGAATGCATAGGCCCTGAGCACAAAAAAACTGAACACTGGCATGCATGAGAGGCGGGAGTTTTTGCACCACTAGTATTTTAACTGCCAAGAAGATGGAGATACCTCAAATGTCTGAGTGACAAATTGGACTTTGTCTCTGCCACCATGCAGGTGCTTGAGGATGAAGCCCGGGAGCAGGGCCGTGGTATCCATGTCATCGTCCTCAACCAGGCCACGGTGAGGTTCTAGGTTGGGGACTCAAGAGGGCAGAAACAGGGCTCTCCTGGCTGGTGACATGAACTCATGGGAACTGTGTCCCCTGCTAGGGCCATGTGATGGCAAAGCGCGTATTTGACACATACTCTCCTCACGAGGATGAGGCCATGGTGCTGTTTCTCAACATGGTGGCGCCGGGCCGGGTGCTTATCTGCACTGTCAAGGTCAGTGATTATGTCCTGGTCCCATTCCCTACATCCCCAGCTCACTGCTGTTTGTGACCCTGGAGTCTCTGTCCCTGATGAGGTACAGTGGGAAGCCTCTGGAGAAAGACAGGGGACTTGGATTCCAATCTTCGCCTTGGTGGGTTTGATTTTTCTTTTTTGTTGATCGTGGGGCTTGATCTCTGGGCACTGTCCCTGAGCTCTTCAGCTCAAAGCAAATACTCTACTGCTTGAGCCACAGCGCCACTTCTGGTTTTCTGATTGTTAATTAGAGATAAGAGTCTCACGGGGCGTCTGGGAAGGTGGCTCAGTGGTAGAGCGCTTGCCTTGCGTGCATGAGGCCTTGGGTTGGATTCCTCAGCACCACATACACAGAAAAAGCCGCAAGTGGTGCCGTGGCTCTAGTGGCAGAACTCTAGCCTTGAGCTGAAGAGCTGAGGGACAGTGTCCAGGCCCAGAGTTCAGGCCCCACGACCAACAACAACAACAACCCAAAAAGAGTCTTACGGACTTCGTTGCCCAGGCTGGCATTGAACTGCGATCCTCAGATCTCAGCCTCTTGAATAGCTAGGATTTCAGGTGTGAGCCACTGGTGCCTGGGACTTTGGTGACTTGGTGTTTTATTTATTTTACTTATTTTGCTTTGTTTTTGTGCCAGTACTGAGGCTTGAATTCAAGGCCTCACTTTGTTTTTTTTTCCACTCAAGGCTGGTGCTCTACCGCTTGAGCTATTTCTCTCCTCCCTGTTTTTGTTTTTGGTGGTTAATTGAAGATAAAAATCTTACAGACTCGGGGCTGGGAAGGTGGCTCAGTGGTAGAGCCCTTGCCTTGCATGCATGAGGCCCTGGGTTCGATTCCTCAGCACCACATAAGCAGAAAAAAAAAAAGCTGGAAGTGGCGCTGTGGCTCAAGTGGTA